GACAACCCTGCATGATCTTTGCGCAAACATTTCAAATACATCAAACGAAAAGCAGGCAATGGAAAAACTCATGTTATGTCATGTCACTGCAGCATTTTCCGCGTTGATGATTCATAGAACTGGGTGGTCCTTTGTCGGATCCCTTAGAGCATATTTTTTTAACTAAATATGAAGAATAATTTGTACTTGAGTTTCAAAGAGTGAGACGAAAAGTATTAAAGTTGAAACAACTTATGAGAATCTCAACCTTGGACCTCCGGATACTCACCGGGCGTTCACATCTCCGAATGCCCTCACCTCCCCAGCGTGACCTCGAAGTTCGAACACCAGGAAAGTGACAGCGACAGCGACCTACAAAATGGGCCCGGCCTCGCGTCTGTGCGGAGGTCGTGGCGTGACCGCACCTGCGGCGCCCTCGCGCTCTCGTACGTAGCCCTGCCTTCACCACAGCCGCCTCTCCTTGAGCCCAACGTGCCGCGGCTTTATGAGCCGTGGAGTGCGTTCGCACGAGCGCGTTGATTGCATCCACATGAGAAGTGGGTTTTCGCCCACCCACTTCGGCCTTCAGCAATTAGTAAAAAAATCACTTCACAGCTTTTTTTTTTAATATTACAGTCTTGAAATTGAATTTTAGCCATAGCTTAAGCTAAAGAATATCTGGATTTTTTTTTACAATTTCTTTAACTTGGCCGGTGTGACGTATGAAAAGTTTTCATTGCTATTATCTAATCTTCAAAGTTACTTCCTTTCTGGTAATGGTGAATTTCATACGTATTTTATTATAGAGTTTCTAATTTTTCTATGAAATGGAAGTTTCAGACAAGTTAGTTAGAATGGGGAAAAAACCAATGTTCGTGAATTTAAATGACAGTTCATGGATATTTTATAGTTTAAGGAATTTCCTGTTATAAGATCATTCACTCTCGGGAAGATTGTTAGGACCTTGTATCTGGAAGTGTGGGATTCTCGGCAGTAATAGTGTTCACAATGCAAAGTTCTATACAACACAATATAAAAAGAAAGAAAATGGAACATGTAACAAAGACTACGGTGTCCTAACAGGTGACTGGACAAAACTGACTTACCCTAGCTCTATACGCGATGGCACGCAATCTTTTTCCCTACAGTTCTAATATACATGATGGTATTCTAAGAGATTAAAATATTGATTTGTTGTGAAATTAAGTTAAAATGAACATTAAGATAAATTAGTGAATAGTTGAATAAATTAGTTGAAGGGCTTACATTAATTGTCTCCTGGAATGCATGTTGGAAAACTCTGTAAATCTGTTTCTAGAACGCATTGACGGAAGGGAGAAAATATTTGCAGTAACTTGATGGTATAATCGCAAACTGTGGCGACTATCTGGTCTTGCTTAACATTGTGTGCTTAGTGACCCTATGGGATACAAGATGATAACTTCTGTTGGAAAAAAAAGTTTCTCTTGTTGCTCATACGAGTAGTATGACGCAATATTTGTACATCTACACCCTGCACACACAACCCCTACGGGTGGCTCTTAACTATTCTTGATTACAACTGTTGTGCAAGTTTATATTTTACCAGCTGGTAAACGTTTAAGATTTCATGCTGCATTTCTGATATTTCAAACTATTTTTTTCCTTCAGTCTTTCCAACGTAGGTGTTAGCCATTCAACATATAGTACAATTATTGGTTTAAAATAGTTTTATTACTCCAGTTGTATAGTTCCTAATGGTTGAAGGTCGTTTCAAAACAGACGATAATACCTACAGCTTCATTACTGTATAAAAGTTTGCCAAATCAGACAAGCTTAAGATTTCAGATGTAGTAGAGCTCATCGATCTAACATTTATTTGAAGTTTGATACTCGCTCGTGTCTTCATATATTTTAAACTCCTGTACTAAATTCCCGTCATTACTGCATCGTTCCATAATAAACGAGGGCTATGCCCACTATGTAATTTTATTTTGGTGCTAAATAAACGGCGTATTAGAAGTGTTGTGAAAATCATTCATGTTAATTCAAATTTCTTACAGTTACGGCAGTTCGGTATTTAATAAAGATGCCTTGAATTCGTAGGTTTAAAATTGAGGGGGGAGGCAGTAATGGAGGAATAGACATAAACTTCCGCAGTCTCTTCTTACATCTCCCCTTCAGCCTGTGTTGGCGGAGGCTGTGGCGTAGCCTGCGGCCGCGCGCCCCGGTGCGCCGCTGCCCGCCATTCGCGTCGCCAGTTTTCCATGCTTTTATTCGGCGTCCCGTCTGCATTGTGCTGAGTGGGAGGGGCCATAACCGCCGAGCCGTTATTTCTTCGTGGCGGCGGCGTTGCAGAGCTTGCGACGCGGCGGCAAGTCGGCCACGATCTGGATTGCCGAAAGCCGCGTTTACGGATTGTCCCCCATCCTCTTCCCTCCGATGCCCAAACGGTTTCTTTTAAAATGGTTTTATCTAAGTTTTGTTGAGATTGTTGTTCAGTTTACGAGTGAAAGTTTGCAAATGTTTGAGGTCTTAATCTCGTTTAAAATTGTACTGCACTAATTCTGACAATAACCGAGGAAAAGAAAAAAATCTCAGAGCTCAAGTAGTGTTAAAGATTGTACCGACAAACGTGACGGGGCTGACTTGAAATAGGGTGTTTCGGAGAGAGATACTAGCTGTGATGAAGTAGATGCTTTTTTATAACCTGAATGGTAATTTAGTGCAACTACAATAGATAGTAAGTCTTCACCTTGCGAAAAAATGCTTCCGAACCAGGCCCCAACAGCAGATGCACGGAATATTCAAAGGAGAAGTCGGGCATTTTCCTAAGAGTGGGGTAATTTTTTGTACGAATTAACTCTTCAGAGTATGCGTTTTTGGCATCATATTAATTGAGGCGATGTTGAATACTTTGCCCATGGCTATTTTGCGGAAAGCTTGTCCGAAAATGCTATTTACCGCATGTATACCGCAGAATTGCAAATTTGTAATTGGGTAATTGGTAAACAATTAAATAAAGAAACATATATTTGATGGTTGCTTGTGCATGTAAAACCCATGTCTATTAAAATTGTCAGAAAAAAATTGCGGAAACATTGAAAAAGATTCGTAAATCATAAGGCGCGAGTATAGCCCCCCTCCCCTCGTTCCACGTATTTATTGACACTGAAAATAGTACTTGCATAATACGTTTAGGTAGGATGCGCCTGTTTTTTGTGTAAGCTTTCATAATGGGTCGTAGAGTTCTTATGCGCCGAGAAATGCGCTTCTAATGCACAACACACGTTCATAACTCGTTTCTGATACAGTATATAAAATAAGTTTAAATTCTGAAATGCTCGTTGAAAAATTTAAGAGTCATTAAATTGTTCATTATGACCCCGAATTACATATGAATCCGTATTGTATGAATTCTACGCAACGTCTACTTATATGTTAATTTAAAAAAACAAAACATTTACAGACACGTGTGTGTTGAATGGAAATATACCCAAATATTTGTATTCCGAAAGGTGTGCTGAACGGTAAATTTTTAAATGCGGTATCTGTGCAATTTCGCAAATGTGAAAAACGGCTAATTATGAAAGTTTTGTATTACTCCCTCAAGGCCTTCAATTTCAATGGATAGTATGCCCCCCCTCCGTTGGTCGTACTTTTATGGCATCTTGAGAGCAACGTTAATGTGCAGGCTACGAGGAACTTCGTCAACATCCTATTTTTCCCGAGGGTTGCATTGGTGCGTCGACCGTAGTGGTCTCTTGCGCGGACGAAACAATAGCTGGCGGAGAGAGCGCGTGGCGGCGGGAGCCCCGGCGTGGCAAGGGAGCTGAGAAGGGCCTTGGTTGGGTGGGAGCTCCGTTACTCGCGGCGTGGGAGACTGTGTCATCGGACTTCCGGTGCAGCGGCGGCGACCCGACTACCCTCTCTCCCGCGACGCCGCCCGGAGCCTCGCCGACACTGCCGGAGGGGGTGCAGGGGTACAGATCGAGGGATGTTGATTCACTCCATTCTGAACCCAACTTCCCCTGAGGGGGGGGGGGGCACTCTCATTCGAAGTTTTTATTTTATGTATATGTACACATACACATAATATATAAAATTCGTGCATTAACTCGTCGTAAACATCAGATTCTGGGAAATGTCTTCAGGTGCTAGTGTTGGAAGAGGAGGTTATCGAATAATATATGCCTATTTAATAAATGAAACGTTAGGTACTGCATTTCGGCGCACTTAACACCACATACTTGTGTTTTCCATTATGAAATGGATAGTAATCGTGCAGGGGAAATTACACAATTCTTTATACAATTTTCGTAATCATCACTTCCCTTACATCACAAGTTTGGCTGAAATAATGTGGTATTCAGTTTCATGATTTTTTTTTTCAACAATTGAATTCTTCCACTGGCACACGAAGAATATAATTGGTGTAGTCGCCATTTCACTGAACCTACAGCGCACGTGTAAATCTTACCGTGGGGATTCGAGGCGGGTGGCGGGCAGAAGGGATCCCACATTGAAGTTAAAAAGCGGCGAGGGGGGAGGAGTATAATTTTAAACATAGCGCTTTGGAAAATGACGCATAAATGTTTTATTGAATTAACGACAAACGAGACATAAACTCGTTTCACTAAAAAATTAAATGTTAATAACATTTCTCTATATAAATAAAAATGGATGTTGGTATTATAGAGATCGACAAACTCGGACCCAATTTGACCGATCTCCATGAAAGTTGGCATATCTTGGTCTTTCATGGAGGTTTTTCTGCTGCTCAATTTGTTGCATCTCTCCACTAGATGGCGCTGCAGCACAAGATGACGCTCCAGTTCATTGCAATTTCGAATCCACCTGTGCTTCATTGTTGCTGGACGTTGCCGTGTGTCGCGGGGCGGGTTCGAGCATAACAAGACGAGCGGGCGGCGCAGGATGAAGACTGGACGAAACTAATGCTAAGCTAGGAGGGAGATTTAACAGCGTGATAGTCGGTATTTTTTCAATACAGAAAAAAGTCTTTTGAAGTACTCATTCTGAGATTTTTTTGTCAATCTCAGGACAACTATTCTCACAATTCTAAGCATTATCAGATGTTTCAAGATATGACTTCAGGCATCTCGGAAGGCATGCCGTTTCATTGCATTACGAACTTGCTTACAGTTGTAGGCAAATCGAGCTTCAGAATTCGAAATTGGTACGTATTGAGAAAATATAAAAATTGTCAAGTTCGTAACGACGAGAATAAAATGGCCAAGAGTATAACGTGCAATAAATCTTGTTCATGATGAAAGTAGAAAATTGGGGCGCTCCGCCATAGTCTTTTAGAGACGTAGGAAATTTACGAAGAAAGGAGGGACGATCCCTATGAAAATCGTGACGGGTGTTACTCTACACGCGCAGTTCGGTATCCTATATATAAACGCATTCCTTGAATTCGTAGGTTTAAAAATTGAGGGGGGGGGGAGTGATGGAGGATAGACATAACTTCCGCGTCTGCTTCTTGCAATCTCCCCTAGCCGCGTTGGCGGAGGCTTGTGGGCGTAGCCTGCGGCCGCGCGCGCCCGGTGGCCGCTGGCCCGCCATTCGCGTCGCCAGTTTTGCCATGCTTTCTTCGGCGTTCCGTCCCTGCATTGTGTGAGTGGGAGGGGCCATAACCCGCCGAGCCGGTTTATTTCTTCGTGACGGCGCGGCGTTGCAAGGTTGCGACGGCGCGGCCAGTCGGCCACGATCTGATTGCCGAAAGCCGCGTTTACGGATTGCCCTCCATCCTCTTCCTCCGATGCCCAAACGGTTTCTTTTAAAATGGTTTTATCCCAAGTTTTGTTGAGATTGTTGTTCAGTTTTACGAGTGAAATTTGCAAATGTTTGAGGTCTTAATCCTCGTTTAAATTGAGTACTCGGCACTAATTCATGGACAATAACGCGAGGGAAAAGAAAAAACATCTAGAGCTCAACGTAGTTGTTAAAGATAGTAAACCGACAAACGTGACGGGGCTGACTTGAAATAAGGTGTTACGGAAGAGAGAATACACTATGATGAAGTAGATGCTTTTTTATAACCTGAATAGGTAATTTAGTGCAAACTACAATACGATAGTAAAGTTTACCTTCACGGCGAAAAAATGCTTCCGACCAGGCCCCAACAGCAGATGCTCAGAATATTCAAAGGAGAAAGTCGGGCCATTTTAACAGCGACGGGTATTTTTTTTGTCCACGAAATTAATCTTCAGTAGTATGCTCTTTTGGCATAATATTAATTGAGGCGAATGATTGAATACTTTGCCCATGGCTATTTTGCGGAAAGCTTGTTCCGAAAACTGTATTACCGCAGATGTATAACCGCAAGAATTGCAAAATTTGTAATTGGGGTAAATACTGGTTAAAACAATTTAAAGAATGTAGTGAAGTTTTTAAACACTGCCGGGGAATAGCACGCAAAAAATCAGAAACATATCATTTGACGGTTGCTTGGTGCATGTAAAATCCATGTCTATTAAATTGTCAGTAGAAAAATTGGGGTAGAACATTGAAAAGATTCGTAATATTCATAAAGGCCGCGAGTATAGCCCCCCTCACCTGCCTCTCCCTCCCCTCGTTCGACGATCATTTATTGACACTGACAATAGTACTGGAGATATACGGTTTAGGTAGGCATATGCGCCTGTTTTTTGTGTAACGCTTTCAATCAAGGGTCGTAGAGTTCTTATGCGCACGGAGAAATGCGCTTTCTAATGCACAACACAGACGTTCATACTCGTTTTCTGAAAATCACAGTATATAAAATACGTTTAAATCTGAAATGCTCGTTGAAAATTTAAAACCGCGTCATTCAATTGTTCATTATGAACCCCGAATTACTATGAATCACAGCTACTATGTATGTAATTTTCTACGTAAGACGTCTACTATATGTAATTAAAAAACAATACATTTACCAAGACTCACGCTCGTGTACGTTGTAACCTGGTCACGAGGAGGGAGAGCCCCAAATACATTCCAAGCTAGTGCTCGCCGAAAGGTTGCTGGAACGGTAACCTGCTGGTCTCCTGTTTACCAACTATCGCACGCCGTATGCTTAATTCGTGCAATTTACTCGAGTACATTGCCTGAACATACCACTGCGTTGGAGACTATATTGCACATATGTTTTCTTTCTGATTACTACATCCTCAAGGCCTTCAGGAGTTTCGCAATGACATTGTATCGCCCCCTCCGTTGGTCGTACTTGTCACTGGTCATCCTCGAGAAGCGACACCGCTTAATGTGCTGTCGCACCCGCGACGCCTCGCGCTACGCAGCACACTCGTCCAAGATTTCTGTCCTTCCCGAGGGGCGATTCCGGTTCGCGCGGTCGGGAGCCCGGCTGCGAGGCCGGTCAACGTTGGCCGAGAATAACAAACAACTGGCGGGAGAGCAGTAGCGCGTGGCGGCGGGAGCCGCGCCGCGCGGTGCGCCGAGAGGAGCTCACGGGAAGGGCCTTGTCCTGGGTGCCGCAGCACCGCTCCTGTCTACCACATGCGCGCGCCCCGTGGGCCGACGCACTGTGTCATGGAGGACATTCGCCGGCTGCCGGGCGGCGCGGCCGACCCGCCCGACTCCGCGCCCTCTCTCGCCGCGCGCGCACGCGCCGGCCCGAGCTCGCCACGCACACTGCCGGAGGGGGGCCCAGGGTACAGGCATCGAGGCGTTTGAGCCTCTCCTCGCGCAGTCTTCTGAAGTACCCCACCGGCGGGCGGCGGGCGGGCGAATCGCCGAGTCTGCACCTAGTACGTGCGCCGGGAGAGGACTCGATGCGCGAAGGGAGAGCGTGATACCATAGCTATGAGTCGACAGTGGTGATGTACGTGGCTACCCGGTGAGATGCATGTACTTGAGTGGCTTTTATAGTTTAATATACAAAACTATTGTTCTTGAATTATAGCAAGTCTATCATCCCTATATATAAATAATACTATGATGGCTAACTGACGCGGTGAGCTTTAATATGCGAACAAATAGATGTATGTCTCTGTACAATCATACCACTAAGGCTATATCCATGCCCATAAGATTCGGTGCTTGACTCATTAACGCGCTACGTAACATCAGATTCCTGGCAAACTGGTTCTCTCAGGCGTGCTCAGCAGTTGGACCACCAGATTACGAGGTTATCGAATAATATATGCCTATTTCAATAAATTGAACGTTAGGTGAGCCTGGCATATATTTCAAGTGGCTCGGCGCACTAATATAATCCACACTACTTGTGTTTTCCATTATGAAATGGATAGTAATATTTCCCCGTGCAGTCGGTGTCACACAGTTCACATTCGCATACTCTTATCAGCATATTTTTCGTAAAAACATCAACTGGTTCCTGTTACTCACAAGTTCGAGCTGAAATAATGTGGTATTCAGTTTAATGATCCCCTATTTTTTGTCAAACCATATATGAAGTTCTTTCCACTAGGACAACCACGAAGATATATAATTCAAGTGTAAGTCGCCAGTTTCACTGAACTTATAAATGCGACGTGTACGTAATCTGTACCCTCTGCTCGGGGAGTCGAGGTTGTGGTCGGTGGGTCACGCACAGGGATCCCACATTGAAGAATATGATAAAAGACGGAGCTGAGGGGGGGGACCGACTTTCCTCACCAGAGATTTTTTAAAGCATAGCAGCTCTGAAAATGCACGCATAAATGTTGGTCAGTTTGTATATTAGACCTCGCTATCAAACACGACAGCTCAAGGAGAGTTTCCAGCGAGACAATTAAATGAATATAAATGCAACATTTCTCAGTAATCATGAGGCCTTAATAGACATGGAGTTTGCGTATTATAAAGGAGATCGGAGCAAAGTCGCTCGGACCCATGGGGAGAGAGGAGGATACGGAGACATAGACTGGTTCCTGGTGCGTTAAGACATGAGAGGACAGGAGGATTGTTCTTCTCCAGTCTGCTCCAGAGTCTTTCTGTTCTCGCACTAATCTCTCCACTAGACTGGCGCTTCGCTCACAGCACCACGAGGCGATGTAGTGCGGTCTCGAGTTACATTCTCGCTAATTAAGTTCCAGGAATCCATCACTGTAAGGTCCTTTTCCTCATCATTGTTTTGCTGGAACGCTTGCCGTTGTCGCGGCGGGTTCGAGTCAATAACAACGACGAGCGGGCGGCGCAGGATGAAGACTGGAACGCAACTAATGCTAAGCTAAGGAGGGAGATTTAACAGCGTGAATAGTCCGGTATCTTTTTCAATACAGAAAAAAGTCTTTTGAAACGTAACTCATTCTGAGATATTTTTTGTCAATCTCAAGTAAGACAACTCTTCTAACAATTCTAAGCATTATCAGCTGTTTCAAGAATATGACTTCAGGCATCTCGGAAGGCATGCCGTTTCATTGCATTACGAACTTGCTTACAGTTGTAAGGCCAAATCGAGCTCAGATTCGAATTGGTACGTATTGGATGAAAAATAAAAAATTGTACAATTCGTAACGACGAGAATAAAATGGCCAAGAGTATAACGTGCAATAAATCTTGTTCAAATGGATGAAGTAGAAAATTGGGGGCGCTCCGCCATAGTCTTTTAGAGACGTAGGGAAATTTACGAAGAAAGGAGGGACGATCCCTATGAAAATCGTGACGGGTGTTATCTACACGGGGGGGGGTTTGGAACGTGACCGCGCGGGCGCCTGATTGGATGCCAAGACAGCTCTTGCTCCAGCGCGCGCGCGCGGCGGGCGGTAATTATGGGTTGTTAGAGCGGAGGGGTGAGATGCATTTGCAACTTGTGGGGAGTGTGCGGGGCGCCCGTGGAATTGCCTG